CTGCTGAGCTATTAACCAGCCTCAAAGGCTGTGAATCTCACTAAAGATTAACCAATAAATAATAATAATAATAATAATAATAATAATAATAATAATAATAATAATAATAATAATAGCACTTAGAATTATATACCGCTTCACAGTGCTTTACAGCTCTCTCTAAGCAGTTTACAGAATCGGAAGATGGCCCCCAACAATTTGGGTCCTCATTTTACCCACCTTGGAAGCATTTGAAATGTGGATTGACAGGTGGCTGTTACGTATAGGCTGGGTTGAGAAAATCAGAAAGGAAGAGGGCATAAGCCGTCTGGGAAAGCCAAGGGAAATCATCCAAATCATAAAAACAAAAACAAAAAAACCAACGTTAGAATATTTTGGACGTGATGCGACACCAGAGGTGGTATTCAGTCAGTTCGAACTGCTTTGGGCGAACCGGTAGTGACGACTTGCGGGTTACATTACCAGGATTTGGCGGATATACGCATTCACGGCGCTGGGTGTGGCAAGGACAGGGGTCCATGCCGGGGAGGTGGGCATGTGGGGGCTGTATGCCCATTGCATTCTGGGGGTTTGGGCACATGCTTTGGGCACTCGATCCGGAAAAGGTTAGCCATCACTGGTATATAGTAAACACAAAATAGGTTAACAGGTCAAAAACTGGCCTAAAATAACCTCTTTTCACACGTTCCCCTCAATCTAAATTACTGATCAAGAATAAGTTAATATGTCTATGGAGATTCTCAGTCATCCAGGCCATGGATATCCCAAAGGTGTTTTTTCAAGAGGAAACTGGACTTTCTGGTTTTTCTTTGAAGGCATTTCGCTTCTCATCCAAGAAGCTTCTTCCGCTCTGACTGGATGGTGGGGAATGGAAGGGTTGATATTCCTTGCAGACAGCTGGTCATTTGCATCCTTTTTAGAGGGCCGTTGAGGCCACTTGGAGGTTGATCTGTGTCACGAGCGGTGCCTACATCACAAACCGAAGCGCAAATGCTTCTTGTAATCTGCAATTTTTCTGGAAATCCATTCACCCTTTGAACGGTGCGGGGGTATGAACTGATTTCCAGAAAAATTGCAGACTACAAGAACCACCGGTTTGTGATGTAGGCACCACTCGTGACACAGATAAACCTCCGAGATCCTTGGTGGTGCAGCGGACTAAGTGCTATTATGTAGCACTTAGCTGCCAGCTCCCTGCAATTAGTGCGAGTTCAAATCTCACCAGGCTCAAGGTTGACTCAGCCTTCCATCCTTCCGAGGCAGGTAAACAGTGGTGGGTTCCTCCTGGTTCGGTCCGGTTCGGCCGAGCCGGTAGCAGTGACAATATGACGTCACCGAACCGGTTCTCCCCCCCACATTATTCTTACCTTTTATTTGGTCCCACCCCCAATCTATTGCTGCCTCCTGAGTCCCAGCTGATGACTAGAGGGGAAAAAACTGTTTAAACTCTTGCCGCGGGGCTTCAAAGGGCCGCCCTACAGCTGATCAGTGTTAAAAGCAAACAAATGATTCGGGTCGTAAGTGCGAGGACTGGTCGTAAGTGTGAGGACCTTCCAGAAATGACTCTGACCAGCTAGCCACGCCCACCTAGTCACATGACCTCCAAGCCACACCCACAAAATAAGCCACGCCCACAGAACCGGTAGTAAGAAAATTTAGAACCCACCCCTGCAGGTAAATTGAGGACCCGGATTGTTGGGGGCAATAAACTGACTTTGTAGAAACACCGCTTATGGGGGTGGGGGGCAAAAGCCCTAAAAAGCAGGTATATACAAAAGAATGAAGGCTATTGCTATAAGTGCATTGTAAGCCGCCCTGAGTCTTTGGAGAAGGGCGACGTATAAATTGAACTAATAAATAAATAATAAATAAGTGTCCTCGACGATTCTCTAAAAAGGATGCAAATGACCAGCTGTCTGCAAGGAGTATAAATCCTTCCATTCCCCACCATCCAGTCAGAACTGAGGAAGCTTCTTGGATGAGAAGCAAAGTGTCTTCAAAGAAAAATAAAAACCAGAAAGTCCAGTTGCCTCCTGAAGAAAAAAAAAAGCACTTTTAGAATAATAAGTTCATATATGGTCCTGTGCAACCCTGAATCACCCTGGCAAGAAAGCAGGAACTCGAGTGTGTTAATTTAACCAGTTTCTAATTGCTGCAGCAAAAGGAAGAAAACTTGCGGCTTTGCGCTGTTTTGTGCTGCAGCCAGGAAATCTTCGTTAAAGAATGAAGTTATACCAGAATGAAAACTAGCTAGAATCAGCCGGATTGTTAAGTAATTGCTAAAACAGACATTTGGTGATGCTTGTTTGCAGAGAGGCAATCTGGGATGTGGTTTAAGGAATTTATGAAGAGAAGGACCAGGGGAGACAGGATAGCAGTCTTCCAATATTTGAGGGGCTGCCCCGAGAGAGGACGGGGTCAGGCCAGAGGTGGGTTTCAGCAGGTTCCGACCAGTTCTGGAGAACCGGTAGTGGAAATTTTGAGGAGTTCGGAGAACCGGTAGTAAAAATTCTGACTGCCCACCCCCCACCTATTCTCTACCTCCTGAATCCCAGCTGATTGGGAGGAAATGGGGATTTTGCAGTCGAAACTGGTTGATTTCCCAGTCACATTGAACAGGGGTGGGCAATTGGGGTCCCAGGCAATGATGGGATTCAGCCAGTTCGCACCTATTCGGGAGAACCAGTTGTTAACTTTCTAAACAGTTCGGAGAACCGGTTGTTGGAAGAAATCTCCTTTTGTTTTTTCTCACTTTACAGGGCTAATCCTGTAAGGAAGGAAACATTCTGGTGGTGTTTCTAGCCTAATCTTTATTGCCCTGCTTACAGAAACTGCCTCTCTGGTTAACCCTTGTTACATTGTAACAGCTAAGGCGAAGCGCCCACCGATCTGAGTGACGTCGAGTTGGCCACGCCCACACGGTCACATGACCACCGAGCCACGCCTACCCATCTGGCCATTAGGGCAGAGAACCGGTTGTTAAATTATTTGAATCCCATCACTGGTCCCAGGGGTCTAAATTGAAGACCTATTTTACTTTTTTACACATGTGAGAAAAAGAGGAGAGTTTCCAGTTGAAACAGAAAGCTTGTTTTGACCTCCATCTGGGCATCTTTTTTTCTTTTCATTTTAGCTTTGAGTTGAAGATAGGAAGGTCAGTAAAAATCCCCTTTTAGTGTCCCAAGTGTGTAGATGTTGCAAAAGACCTGTGTTACCCTGTTACAACTTCATCCCTTTCAATCACATTTGTTTAATCTGAAAAGAGGGTACTAGGTTCCTTGCTTTTTTCCATCCAGGTTTTTGCAAGATGGAATTTCAGTTTGCTGAAAATGTTTGCAAAAACCTGTGGTAACTTACCTGAACAAAGACTTTCCGTAGTTTCCACACTATTCATTCTTATCTTTTTTTTTTATGCAAATCTCCTGATATCATTTTAATGCAAATTATCCCAAAGTCTTTCTTATATACCTTGGCTTTATACATGCAAATCATTTCCTTGCAGAAATTTCAACATGAAATGTAAGTATCCGTCATTTAGGCTGGAAAAAAGGGAGGGGAAGGGAAGGAAAGGCAGGGGAAAGGAGGGGAAGGGAAGGGGAGGGAAGGCGGAAGGGGAAAGGGAAGAGGAGGAAAGGAAAAGGAAGGGAAAGGGAAAGAGAAGGAAAAGAAAACAAAGGGAAGGAAAGGAAAGGAAGGAAAGGGAAAGGGAAAGAGAAGGAAAGGAAAACAAAGGGAAGGGAAGGAAAGGAAAAAGAGAAGGAAGGGAAGGAAAGGGGAAGGGGAAGAGAAGGAAAGGAAAAAGAAAGGGAAGGAAGGGAAGGAAGAAGGAAAGGAAAACAAAGGGAAGGGAAGGAAAGGAAAAAGGAAAGGAAAGGAAAAAGGAAAGGAAGGGAAGGAAAGGGGAAGGAAAGGAAAGGGAAGGGAGAAGAGAAGGAAAAGAAAGGAAAGGAAAAGGAAGGGAAAGGGAAAGAGAAGGAAAGGAAAACAAAGGGAAGGAAAGGAAAGAAAAAAGGGAAGGAAGGGAAGGAAAGGGGAAGGGGAAGAGAAGGAAATGAAAACAAAGGAAGGGAAGGGAAGGAAAGGAAAAAGGAAAGGAAAACAGGGAAGGGAAGAAAAGGAAAGGAAAAAGAAAAGGAAAGGAAAAAGGAAAGAAGAGAAGGAAAAGAAAGAAAGGAAAAGGAAGGGAAAGGGAAAGAGAAGGAAAGGAAAACAAAGGGAAGGAAAGGAAAGGAAAAAGGGAAGGAAGGGAAGGAAAGGAAAGGGGAAGGAAGGGAAGGAGAGGAAAAGGAAGGGAAGGGAAGGAGGAAGAGAAAAAAGGAAAATAAAGGAAGGAAGGGAAAGAGAAGGAAAGGAAAACAAAGGGAAGGAAAGGAAAGGAAAGGAAAAAGGAAGGGAAGGGGAAGGAAAGGGAAAGAGAAGGCAAGGAAAATAAAGGGAAGGGAAGGAAAAAGGAAAGGAAGGGAAGGAAAGGGGAAGGAAGGAAGGAAAGGGGAAGAGAAGGAAAGAAAAACAAAGGGAAGGAAGGGAAGGAAAACAAAGGAAAACGAAGGGAAGGGAGGGGAAAGGAAGAGAAGGAAAGGGAAGGAAAGAAAAAGAAAGGAAAGGGAAAGAGAAGGAAAGGAAAACAAAGGGAAGGGGAGGGGAATAGAAAGAAAGGAAAGGAAACAAAAGGAAAAGAAAACAAAGGATTGAAAAGAAAGTTTGAAAAGCCTTCCCCTACCAAAGATAATGTCTGGAGACCATAGAGAACCTCGTGCAGTGTCAAAGTTTCAACCTATGCCTCTTTAAGGGCATAAGAGTACTTCTGAATTACCCGTCTAGTGTTTTTGAGTTCCCGACTTGATGCTTTTGGGGGGGCCTTCTTCTTTCCTTCCAAAAAAGAAGAAAGAAAGAAGGAAGTGGGCGCCAAACAGGGTTTTGAGCACCAAATATTAGCAACGGCTTACAATCACCAGCTGACTTTCCCACCACTTTGAAACAGGACACACAAAACACCACTATCGCATAAGCCCTACCATGGGCTACACAGAATTCGTTTATTAAAAACAACCCCTTCTCCCTCCAGGAATGAATGGGAAATCCCTGTTTGTTCGTGGTTTTTATGTTTCCATAACCAAGCGTCTTCTGGACAATATATGTACATCTTAGCAAGCCATCAAACGTAGGTCTCGAGAGCTGTTCCTTACAAGAAGGATATGTTCTCAGACCATGGTCAATTAAAGAGGACTTGGCCAAGGTCTTCTAGGGTAGAAGGTTGTTCCATGAACATTAGATGGGTGATGTTCATGAGAGCTCATCCCGTGAGGCTGGAAAAAGTGTAGAGTGGACCCAACGATGTCTACTGTCATTATATATCTTATTTGGTCAATTCCTTTGACCAGCTATGACCATCCTGAGCTCAGAACTTCCAAGTGGCTTTCTCAAGGGAAGCAACTCCTCCTTGTTAAATGAAGCACGTATCATCACTACCCCGAGCAGCCACCTAATAGTCTTCCTCCTCCTCCTCCTCTTCAAAAATTTCACCAGCCGTAGCGGCCTCCAGGGCTGCCAGGGCCTCTGCAACTTCTGCATCTTCTTCCAGTTCTCCGTTGACCTTGGTGAGGCCGTCACATCTGGCTTCCCACGCAGACTCTCCCTTCTTCCTCCCAGAGAGGATCTCAGTGGATATTTGGTCCTCGAACAAGAAGCCGAAAGGACTCGTCCTCCAAACACCGTCCCCTTCGTCGGATTCGCCACACGGTGGGTTCCGGTTGTGGACGATGGTCGTGTTTCCCGTGTTTTGGTTGATTTGCACAAGATGGTTTGAGAGGTTCTCCTTCCCAACAGCCCTCGATTTCTCAGCATGGTTGTCCTCGGGAAGAAAAGACGGATTATCCAACCGAAGGACTTTGTGTCGGATCTCTGGTAGGGCACACGGTATGGAAAAAATGGGTTCGGCGGTAGTCCGAGGGCCCTCCTCCTCACAAAGAGCATTCGAAGTTTGCTTTGGTTGATTTTCAGGATCAAAAATCTTCAGTTTATCACCTGTTTTTGGCTGGAAAACTCTTTTGCCTGGAGGATCAGGCTGCTGAGCGGAAGAGCTGTGCAGGTTAATCTCTTTAGGTTGGGTTTTATGAGGAGAGGCGCCGATATTTTTGGAGGAATGGATCCCATTAACGTTACACTTTACTACGGCGTTTCCAAGTCTTTTGTCTGGAACAGCAGGGATTCTGGAACTCCAGAGAGCATCTTTGGAGTAGTGGAACCTGCATTGGTTTGAGGCTACTGGCATCTCGGCAATCTGGACTTCGTTTCTACGGTCCAGAATGTTACTGCTCTGCTTGAAATGAAATCTCCCTCTTTCTTCCTCTTCATCTGATTTACAGTTATTTATCTCATTGATGTATGCGGCCGTCTGTACGTCTTGGGGATGAAAGATGTAACTAGGGGAAAAACGGAGAGTACCCAGTTATTTCATTTTTTCCTCCCCCCACCCATTATGGAGAAACCTGCTGATTTCGCCAGGATTTCTCCTCTGAATTTTGAGCATTTTTACCGCGGTAGAAAAGCATGGCGCAACTACATTGAAATCGGGTGGGATTCAGCCGGTTCAGACCGGTTCAGACCGGTTCGGACGAACCGGTAGTTCTGACGATCAGATGGCCCTGCTCACCCACCCCTGCCTTATCCTGTCCTTTATTTCCTTGTTTCTAGCTTGTCTGAATTGTGCATTACAGCTGATTTCCGCCACTCAGCTGTTCTACTTTACCCGGGCTGACTTAGAAGGTAAGCAGCTGAGCTTTAAAAATCTCCAATTTAGCGCGTGCTCACCGAACCAGTTGTTAAACCGGCTGAAGCCCACCACTGATTGAAATGGAATTAAAGTTAACTACCCAGGTTCTTGATGTTTGACAACGCAACTAAAAACCCCCCATTATTTCACAGTGTTTTCACTTCTACTTGACTGTTTAATGGTGTCCATTGTGGGGAAACCTGATTAACACACATACACACACACACAACTGTTTTGCTTTTGTGGCAGGCCAGCCACAATTTTGGGGTCGGGTCAGCTTGCAAAATGTATAAGTGAAAAAAAAAAAATGACTGGGCGAGCTAGCCATAATCATTAACCTTCTTTGATTTTAGCCCTGCCAGAAACGAGGTGGAGGTTATCCTACCTTTTAATCATTTTACAGCATTTGCACCCCATCTGGATTCTTCTTTTGTCAGTATCTGTAAAGAGAAAGAGAAGGGGGGGGGGGAACAAACAAGCATCAGAATTAGGGAATAAAGTAGGAACTTTCCACTTGGTTTTTGAAAGGGCGCGTTGAGTAAAATGAGTTTCCAATTATGTTTAAACATGGGAAACGCTAAGGGTGATGACATTTGGCTCAATCAACATGTTGCTTGCACTTCCCTCCCTCCCTCCCGTTCCTCTCTTTCTTTCTTTCTCTCTTTCTTTCTCTTTCCTTCCTTCATTTGTTCCTTCCTGAGCCTCTCTCTCTTTTCCTCCCTCCCCCGCGCTCTCGCTCTTTCCTTTTTCCTTCCTCCCTCCCTCCCTCCTTTCCTCTCTCTATCTTTTTCTCTTTCTCTTTCCTTCCTTCATTTGTTCCTTCCTCTCTCTTCTTTCCTTCCTTCCTTTCTTCCTTCCTTTTTTCTTTCTTTCTTTCTCTCTCTTTCCTTCCTTCCTTCTCCTTTCTTCTTTCCTCCTTTCCTTTCCTGTTTCTCTCTCTCTCTCTTTCCTTCCTTCATTTGTTCCTTCTTCTCTCCTTCCCTCCTTCCCTTCCCTCCTTCCTTCCTCTCTCTCTCTTTCCTTCCTTCCTTCTCCTTCCTTCCTTCCTCCTTTCCTTTCCTGTTTCTCTCTCTCTTTCTTTCCTTCCTTCATTTGTTCCTTCCTCTCTCTCCTTTCTTCCCTCCCTTCCCCTTCTTTCTTTCTTTCTTTCTTTCTTTCTTTCTTTCTTTCTTTCTTTCTTTCTTTCTTTCT